GGGGGAATTTTACAGCAATTTTTTGGGATTTTTTTGGGAATCTTTAGGGAATTTTTTGGGAAATTTTGGGGATTTTTGGAGGATTTTTTTGGGTTTTTTGGAATTTATTTGGGATTTTTTTAGGATATTTTGGGGGGATTTCTTGGGATTCTTGGGGAATTTTGGGGGGATTTTTTTGGGAATTCTTTTTGGATTTTTTTAGGGATTTTTGGGGGATTTTTTTTTATTTTGGGGAATTTTTTGGGGGATTTTTGGGGGATTTCTTGAGTATTTTCCAGGATTTTTTTTTAATTTGGGGGGAATTTTCCAGGAATTTTTAGGGATTTGGGGGGAATTTTTTTTGGATTTTGGGGGGATTTTTTGGGAAATTTCTTGGAATTTTTAGAGAAATTTTTTTTGTGTTCTTTTTATTTTGGAGAGATTTTTTGGGGAATTTTTGGGGATTTTTGGGGGGATTTTCAGGAATTTTTATGGGAATTTTCCAGGATTTTTTAGGGCTCTCTTTGGGATTTTTTAGTGGAGTTTTTGGGGGATTTTTTTGGGATTTTTGGGGAATTTTCCAGGAATTATCAGGAATTTTTTGGGGATCTTTTGGGGATTTTGGGGGGGTTTTGGGGGGGATTTTTGGAGGGATTTTCCAGGAATTTTCAGGGATTTTTGGGAATTTTTTTGAGAATTTATGGGGAGTTTTTTGGGGGGATTTTTTGGGGAGAATTTTCCAGGAATTTTTTTTTTTTTTTAAATTTTCTGGGAATTTTTTGGGAATTTCCTGGGATTTTTCCAGGGATTTTGGGGGAGTTTTCTGAGCAATTTCTGGGAATTTTTGGGAATATCAGAGGGATTTTCCAGGGATTTTCAGGGAGGTTTTTTTTTGAATTTTCCAGAAAATTTCCAGAAATTTCTTGGGAATTTTAGTGGGAGGTTTTCCCTGGGGGGGTCATTCCAAAAAGTTCAGAGTTTTTGGGATTTGGGATTTTCCCACTGGAATTTCCTTATTCCCATTGGAATTCCGATTTTTCCGGGGGAATTTTGTTTTCCCCAGGAAAATTTCATTTTTTCCTGATGGAATTTGATTTTCCCCACGGGAATTTTGGCTTTTCCTGTTGGAATTTGGATTTTTCCCTCTGGAATTTTGGCTTTTTCCATGGAAATTCTGACTTTTCCCACCAGAATTCCCATTTTTCCAATGGAATTTCCCTTTCCCTGTTGGAATTCCGCCCTTTTTGGGTTTTTTCCCGTTGGAATTTTTGGTTTTCCCACCAAAATTTGGGATTTTCCTGGTGGGAATTCCGATTTTTTTTCCTCCCATTCAGGTTCTGGGAATCAAAGTGGAGACCAAGGTAGGGAATTTGGGGAATTTTGGGAATTCCCTTGGAATTTTCTCTCTTCCCGCTTTTTTTTCTCTCGTTTCTGGCTGGAATCGCTCCCTTGGAAAATTCCGGAATTCCCGGGAAAGTTCCTGGGAAAATTCCCGGGAAAAGGGGATGGGAAAAGGCTTTTCCTGGAACGGGAGGATCCCGGAATTCCAAAATTCCGTCAATCCCAGAATTCCATGATCCCAAAATTCCGTGATCCCAAATTTCTGGGATCCCCAAATCCCGTCATTCTATAAATTCCATGAATTCTGTGCTCCCAGAATTCCATGATCCCAAATTTCTGGGATCCCAAAATTCCGTGATTCCATAAATTTCGCGATCCCAAATTTTTGTGATCCCAGAATTCCATGATTCCAAAATTCCACAATCCCAGAACTCCTTGATTCCATAAATTCTCTGATCCCGAAGTTCTCTGATCCCAGAATTCCACGATCCCGGAATTCCACGATCCCAGAATTCCACGATCCCAGAATTTTTGGGATTCCATAAATTCTGGGATCCCAAATTTCTCTGATCCCAGAATTCCGTGATCCCAAATTTCTCTGATCCCGGAATTCCATCGTTCCATAAACTCCAGAATTCCCTGATCCCGGAATTCCATGATCCCAAGTTTCTGGGATTCCAGAAATTCCGTATTCCCAGAATTCTGTGATTCCATAAATTCCAGAATTCCGTGATCCCAAATTTTTGTGATCCCAAACTTCCATGATCTCAGATTCCTGGGATCCCAAAATTCCGTGATTCCATAAATTCCACGATCCCAGAATCCTCTGGTCCCGGAATTCCGTGATCCCATATTTCTGGGATCCCAAATTTTGGGGATCCCAAAATTCCAGGATCCCGAAGTTCTGGGATTCCATAAATTCCATGATCCCAGAATTTTGTGATCCCAGAATTCCCCGATCCCAGAGTTCCACCATCCCAAATTTCTGTGATCCCGGGAATTCCGAGCCTTCGGATCCCGGGATTTTTTCCATGGAATTTTCCCTCTGGAATTCTCTCCTTGGGCTCCACTGACGCTTCTCCCTCGCTGCCACTAACGGCTCCCGCACCCAATTCCCGGATTTTTCCCGGATTTTTCCTGGATTATTCCCAGATTTTTCCTGAACTTTTCCCGGATTTTTCCCAGATTTTTCCGTGGATTATTTCTGGATTTTTCCCAGATTTTTTCCCAGATTATTCCCGGATTTTTTTCCTGGATTATTTCTGAATTTTTCCCGGATTTTTCCTAGATTTTTTCCTGGATTTATCCTGAACTTTTCCCCAATTTTTCCCAGATTTTTCCCTGGATTATTCCCGGATTTATCCTGGATTTTTCCCAGATTTTTCCTGGATTATTCCCAGATTTTTCCTGAACTTTTCCCGGATTTTTCCCAGATTTTTCCGTGGATTATTTCTGGATTTTTCCCAGATTTTTTCCCAGATTATTCCCGGATTTTTTTCCTGGATTATTTCTGAATTTTTCCCGGATTTTTCCTAGATTTTTTCCTGGATTTATCCTGAACTTTTCCCTGATTTTTCCCAGATTTTTCCCTGGATTATTCCCGGATTTATCCTGGATTTTTCCCAGATTTTTTTCCTGGATTTTTCCCAGATTTTTCCTGGATTATTCCAAGATTTTTCCTGAACTTTTCCCGGATTTTTCCCAGATTTTTCCATGGATTATTTCTGGATTTTTCCCAGATTTTTTCCTGGATTTATCCTGAACTTTTCCCCGATTTTTCCCATGGAATTTTCCCTGGATTATTCCCAGATTTTTTTCCTGGATTTTTCCCAGATTTTTCTTGAATTTATTCTGGATTTTCCATTATTTTTCTTGGAATTTTTTTTTTATTTTCTGGGATTTTTCCTGGATTATTCCAAGATTTTTTCCCTGAATTTATCCTGAATTTTTTCCAGATTTTTCCTGGATTATTCCCAGATTTTTTCCTGGATTTATCCTGAATTTTTCAGGGATTTTTCCTGGATTTTTCCCAGATTTTTCTTGAATTTATCCTGAATTTTTCTGGGATTTTTCTCAGATTTTTCCTGGATTTTTTCTGGGTTTTTCCTGGATTTTCCCCAGATTTTTCCCAGATTTTTTCCTGGATATCCTGAATTTTTCTTGGATCTTTCCCGTTTTTTTCCTGGATTTTTTCCTGAACTTATCCTGATTTTTTTTCCCAGATTTTTCCCAGATTTTTCCTGGATTTTTCCGGGATTTTTCTGGGATTTTCCCAGGAATTCCCAGGTTTCTCTGCCACTTTTCCAGGGAATTTGGGGCCGGAATTCCGGGCTCTGGGAGGGGCTGGCAATGAATCCATTGGAATTCACTCATTCATTAATTGAGTCCTGATCCTTAATTAATTATTAATAATTATCATCGCAATGCTAGTAATTTTTGTAATTATAATATTAATAATAATTAGCGTTTACTAATTAATAATTAATAGTGATTTAATTCCTCGATTAATCCATTGGAATCCATGATTTCATTAATTGAGTGTTAATTCTTAATTAATTCCTGACCGCTGATCCCGGATTTTGGGCTGATTCCAGATTTGGGGATCCGCTCCTGGATTTTGGGATCCACTCCTGGTTTTTCGGCCAATCCAGGTTTTTGGGCTGATCCCGGATTTCAGGATCCACTCCCAGATTTTGGGATCCGCTCCTGGACCTCAGAATCCGTTCCTGGATTTCAGGATCCACTCCCCGATTTCAGGATCCATTCCCAGATTTTGAAATCCACTCCCGGATTTCAGGATCCATTCCCAGATTTTGAGATTCACTCCTGGATTTCAGGATCCATTCCCGGATTTTGGGATCCATTCCCAGATTTTGAGATCCACTCCAGGATTTCAGGATCCATTCCCAGATTTCGGGATCCATTCCTGGATTTCCGGGATCCATTCCCAGATTTTGGGATCCATTCCTGGATTTCAGGATCCATTCCTGAATTTTGGGATCCACTCCTGGATTTCAGGATCCACTCCCAGTTTTTGGGATCCACTTCTGCTTTTTGGGCCAATCCCGGTTTTTGGGCTGATCCAGATCCCAACTGATCCCGGATTTTGGGATCTGCTCTGGATTTCAGGATCCACTCCCAGATTTTGGGATCCGCTCCCAGTTTTTGGGATCCACTCCTGTAGTTTAGGCTGATCCCGGATTTTGGGGTGATCCTGGTTTTGGGGATCCGCTCCTGGATTTTGGGATCCACTCCTGGTTTTTCGGCCAATCCAGGTTTTTGGGCTGATCCCGGATTTCAGGATCCACTCCCAGATTTTGGGATCCGCTCCTGGACCTCAGAATCCGTTCCTGGATTTCAGGATCCACTCCCCGATTTCAGGATCCATTCCCAGATTTTGAAATCCACTCCCGGATTTCAGGATCCATTCCCAGATTTTGAGATTCACTCCTGGATTTCAGGATCCATTCCCGGATTTTGGGATCCATTCCCAGATTTTGAGATCCACTCCAGGATTTCAGGATCCATTCCCAGATTTCGGGATCCATTCCTGGATTTCCGGGATCCATTCCCAGATTTTGGGATCCATTCCTGGATTTCAGGATCCATTCCTGAATTTTGGGATCCACTCCTGGATTTCAGGATCCACTCCCAGTTTTTGGGATCCACTTCTGCTTTTTGGGCCAATCCCGGTTTTTGGGCTGATCCAGATCCCAACTGATCCCGGATTTTGGGATCTGCTCTGGATTTCAGGATCCGCTCCCAGATTTTGGGATCCGCTCCCAGTTTTTGGGATCCACTCCTGTAGTTTAGGCTGATCCCGGATTTTGGGGTGATCCTGGTTTTGGGGATCCGCTCCTGGATTTTGGGATCCACTCCTGCGTTTTCAGCCAATCCAGGTTTTTGGGCTGATCCCGGATTTCAGGATCCACTCCCGGATTTCAGGATCCATTCCCAGGTTTCAGGATCCGCTCCCAGATTTCGGGATCCATTCCCAGATTTTGAGATCCATTCCCAGTTTTCCGGATCCATTCCCAGATTTTGGGATCAGTTCCCAGATTTCAGGATCCACTCCTAGATTTTGGGATCCATTCCCAGATTTCTGGATCCATTCCCGGATTCCGGGACCCATTCCCGGATTTCCGGGATCCATTCCCGGATTTCCGCGATCCACTCCCAGATTTCAGGATCCATTCCCGGATTTCAGGATCCATTCCCAGATTTCGGGATCCACTCCCGGATTTCGGGATCCATTCCCAGATTTCAGGATCCATTCCCAGATTTCAGAATCCATTCCCAGATTTCAGGATCCGTTCCCAGATTCCGGGATCCATTCCCGGATTTCGGTATCCATTCCCGGATTTCAGGATCCATTCCCGGATTTCAGGATCCATTCCCGGATTTCTGGGATCCATTCCCGGATTTCCGGGATCCATTCCCGGATTTCGGTATCCATTCCCGGATTTCAGGATCCATTCCTGGATTTCCGGATCCAATCC